ATAAACAACAATCGTCAATTCGACTTGATGCTAAATGTTTTTAGAAGTTTTTGCGGTCTAGACCTGTGTAAAGACTCTGCTGACGTTGTTTTTTTACATTTTGTGTTTAACAACGTCAAATTGTAATGAATTCTTCATAGCTAAACATATAACCGGTGATTTATAATGTATGGTATGTACGGAACAAAACACGTTTACGTAGTGATTCATGTTATCTCAGTACACAAATTAATATTCGTCAATCAATTCCAAACACCCAATTATATATCTCCAATCTTACAGGAAAACTTTGACGGTCGCGTATTTGGAACAGATTAATAATAATGCAGAAATTATGTAAATATCTAATCTCTACATTATAGACTTAGCAGATAAAAATTCGCAACGCAGCGTTCAAAATATCTTGCATAACAATTATATTACGGTCCATGTGCCATTGAGAATACATTCAGTTGCTTAATCATCTTTTATATTAGTTACGGGTTTTCATTTCGATATTACAACTGTAATGTGTTGCTTAAATGTCGCATTATGTAATTAGAGCATACTGCATGCATCTCATTTACCCCAGGAAGTGTGAATGCAATCTAGAATATTATATGCGGAATTTTCCAGTGATCCCCTTTTACTTAAGCGCTAGATTGGAAGCAGTATCTCATTGAACTATTTTCCCATCGAACAAGGCTTCGGATCCAATTTCTTCTTCAACTTTACATTTATTTCTTAGATTGGCTTCACTTCAGACTTATTAATTTTCATTGACTGAACGAATTCCGTACTATTGGACGTATAATTTAGGTCAACCTAGACGAGGGTTTGTGCCAAATGTTTAGTGTCATATTCATAAAGTAGTGTGTTGTTTAATTGGGCTAATGATTTTAATATTACTACTCTACATTGACCTTATTTTTCTGTCATGTTCATGGGTTTGTTTGCACATGTGTAAGACACGTAAGCTATTATAGTGGCTTACAGACGGGAATACAAGATTAGTGCGACATGTATAATGGGAGGTATCCTCTGGGAGGTTTTGGACGTGTGGGGGATTAAATCCAGTGTACAGACAACGGTAAATGTTTGCTAATACCATTATGTTGCGGTGAATACTCACTAATCTGTTATGTTGTTTACGGTTATATTCTCTCAGGATTAGTTATCAACATCGTACTTAGAATAGTTGGAATGTAGGGTTGATTTGTTGAAGGAATTATTCTAAATAGATTCACGTCTTCAGAGTGTATGTGTCTTAAATATTACAATCTGCTATAAATATGATAGAAAGTGTTAAACTTACAGACATTAATTAATTCTGCTGAGCAAATAGAAATTTATCAGACATGTAACAAACAACAGACGCCATTTACGTGCCTGTATATAAATATTGTTTATTATAATTATACGTGAAATAATAAAGATTTAACGAACAACCAGTTGTGCCCTCGCCTCGTAATACAATATTTCAAGTTGTAGAATAACTTTTGCGTAATATTTTAAGTAATACTTACGGTATGAACGTTACTGTAATAAAATACTGTACTTTATTTGGCACGTAGAACAATAGACTTTTTTAAGTAGAATGTTCCAAATTGTAAGAGGTTTCTCCAATCTTAAGAATTCGTTGAAAACCCCTAAACAAGCGCGTAGATTTATTTGAATACTTCAAAGGCGTGTTCAAAATAAATATCTAATGTTTGTTTTCTAAATAAATACGTCTTTTATGCCGCAGTTAACTTAGCTGATATCTATTAGTACCTACGCGATATTTTAGTTATTCGAATATGTCTTGTGAGGAGATTTGAAAGCAATTTGGAGCCAATTCTTAAACTAGAAAATAGTTTTATGTGGTTCTCTAGAAACATACACACGAATGTACAAATACAAGGTCGAAAGAGGCGTTCACTTTCGCTACCACGATTTACTAACAGTGAGCCTCACGATTTTCATGTTTCGTCGACAACGACAACCAACACTTTGAGATTATTGCTTATAAAAACAATTATACTCTAACGACTCTAACAGCTGCTACCACGATCTTTTTCCATTGCCTTTTATTTTTGCTCAAATTGCGGCATTTTTCAACTCTACTTTCTCCGTCTCCCAACTTAATTACTATCTGATGTGTATACATACATACATAACCCGGATGGTTGATTCGATAGTTTAATTTTACAATCTTTAATCAGAACAGGTGCTTGCTTCCATAGATTAAATACTCACAATGATCGATTGTGTACGAAATCAACTCGCAGAAGCCAACACGGCTGGCTTTCACCAATATTCATACAATAACACAACAGTATGGTGCCGAGTCGAATCAATCCGCTATTGTTTGACGTTGACGTCAATACAAATCGTGAAATGTACCCATACACTATACCGAGGCCTTGCAAGTTTCTCGTTCGCCAATACTCGGTAACATTCACCTGTTACTTGCAAAGATCGCGTGTCAAAAGAATATCTGTCGAGATTCTCGATGTAATAGAACATTAAAAGCTTTTTCCAAAACGCCGGAATTATCCGTCACGGCGGACGTCGCTTTTACTATTTGCTTTTACAATTTTCGAAAGGTCATCGTGGACGCGTTTTATATCTTTTGGAATTATAATTTAGACGCAAATGCCAAAGCGCTGGCGTCATTGGGAGCTGTAAATAGTCCTAATTGGAATCAATATAGGAAGACTTGTCGTAAAGTGGTGTATCAATTCATTTTATATTTTTCATTGCTACTTCAGTCAGAGGTCTCACATTCAATAATTGTTTTGTTGTGTTCGTTGAGCTTGTTCTCTGCATTGTCACGTTTATCGATTAATTGTTTTGGTGTGATTCTCAGTGCGTGGTGGAAAGTAATTTGTTGTCGTATTGAATTGGTTGGGTCGAACGTACCTGTCGGGCACGCGAGGTCGAAGAGCGGGTATTTGTATAGTCCATCGTTCGTAGTGGGTTGACCTACTTGGGGGGTGATAACATAAACAAGCCATCGCATAACACCGGAAAACATTTTAAGCTTAGATGTGACCGACGAACAACACCACACCTTAAAACATTTGACCATCATTGACTTCTTCATTTTTATTTAATGACGATTCCTTTAATGTCGCTTGTTAAATGTTTTTGTATAAAGGGCTGAAGGTGAATTTGTTAACTGGCCATAATTCTCTTCCGGATAATTATGAATGACAGAAAAGGAAGTACCATTCATTATTTTTCACTGATGAAGGTGAAAGAACATGTTTTTTTTTTGTCAATATGCAACGAAAATACTTTCTGAGAAGTAAAGAATAAGTGGTGTTATTGTCCAAGTATACACATATACCGAAATCTTAAAGATGATCGTCGTAAATAACTATTTATCTAATAGTTAATTGGAACTACATACATACAAACATTATCTGGTAAAAAGTACTTTAATAAGTCGACCCACCACGTTGACAATTAGCACTAGTAAATTATGGAATTAACATGAATAGGACAATAGTCTTGAAACCACGTCCTTCACTACTTAAAAACCTAAGGCAATGATAGCGTAAATAATGTTATCATTTCCTTATCATACGTCAATCAAAGCTTTAATTTAATTAGTCTTCTTAATGTACAGTTGTTAAGTTAATGGAGGTTTCCGTACTCCATAATTTAGTGTTGCGTACGTTACTGAAATAACCTGGTATGAATGGATCCTCTCTTTCGGTGCCTCAGCACTGTAAAACGGCACATCTGTTGGCAGGACGCGGCACATGTCGATTCCCGATAACGTTCCAAAAATAAACCCAACGATAATTCGTTCACCACTCACGCTGCGCATGGAATGTTCACTCATTGAGTGGCCACTATACACACTTCCACTTCCTCTACTTTCTTGTGTGAATACGCGGCCGCATTAAGAACGCCATCGCCACTTACGTCTACGCTGTGTTTTATGTATCTTCCACGAATGATAGCTAAACTGATGATAAACTTTTCGGGGTCAACAACCGCTTTCTCCTACTTAGTAAGTTGGTATGCGTTCTTGAATTTCTGTTATGTCATGTCTGCTGCTTGTTGCAAAAATGGAATAACTGTGCGGAATACTAGAAGACATCTGTCTGAAGTCTTGAACACTGTTTACGATTGTAACTGTAATCATCTCATTGAAATTCCTTGCAACATTAACAATTACGCCGCGCAGTCTCATAAGGAACTGCTTTGGTAATCGTTCGTTGAATATAAAATATGTGGCTCTAATACCATCCTTTAACAATGAAGCGTGAAATCAATTGCTTTCCGGAATGTAAAACCAAAGTTAATAAAAAATATATTTTGGCGCCCCTTATTTGTATTGTAAAGACATGCAATACATAAAAGTATTACGTCACTTTGCTCAAGTGGTTTGTAAAGTTAGTGTTAAGTTTAAATAAAACAGAAATTAATTTCACGTTTATGAGAAAACGTAAACCTTAACTAATAGTAATAAGTCGGTCGTCGGCGAAATCTTTGGCCTGCAAAGATCTTTGTTTATACTGTTTCGAAGTTGTTTAGTTGCGTTTCGGCTGCGTAATCGAGGTGATCCTTATTCGAATGGTATGCGGAGCGGCGCGTCTATTTGTTGCGTAAAGCAGTTTGCCATACGGCGGCCGCGGGGTAGGACGTGTGTGCTGCGTTTGCACAATGTTCAGTGTTTAATTACGCGCTATGATATATCGCAAGGCTGCTCGCATTGTTTTAACGCTACGCCAGTGTTAGAGCGCAGCTACTATGTTTATGTGAGGAGGCTAATTGAATAATCGTGCTCTGTGTTCTGAAGTTGGTGTTGAGTTTCTGTGCGTTATAAGTGTGAAATGGTTAGAAAGATTATTGTCGTCGGCATCCAACATTACGAGGACCCCTTTTATAAGTACGTAACATGATTGAGGGTTTATTGACATTTACGAGAGGACATTTATTTCCTTAAGGAAATTGTGAGAATTCTAGGATAGTTATTTATCATTTACTTTAAACAACTTCATATATTTTTTTATTTGTTGCAGACATGTGACGGGTTCAAACGGGCCGCCTGCAGGATGCGGACACCAAAGAAACAGATCCCTGGACTCTGTGCTCCAGAGGATACCAGAAGACATGACACCTACGTCGCCAGAGGGGGCGCCACTTCGAATTCCTATCGAAGTGCCCGCTCCGAGATTAGCGCTTCCCCCAGAGGTGCCCACGGGCTCAGATGACTCCGGCATCCACACGCCCCCAGATGGCAATGATGAAGAACGCCCACAACCCCCAGCCGCTGCAAGGTCAAGAGAAAGTTTAGACTCCGGTAATCCTGAAGATACAGATAAACCTCCTGAACCTCCCGATACAATAGAAACATCAGTGAAATCAGACATTTGTGCCGCTGAAACATCTAAAAACAAAGACTTTCTGCTCCGGTTGTTCGAAAGTAAACTGTTCGACATGAGTATGGCGATCTCATACCTGTTCAACTCCAAAGAACCGGGTGTGCAGACCTATCTGGCAAACAAACTATTTTCATTCCCATACGAAGACGTGGATTTCTACCTGCCACAATTAGCGACTATGTATATAGAAATGGGCGATGTGGCGGACGTGTTGAAACCGTATTTGGTGTTCAGGTGTAAACAAAGTGCTGAATTTTCACTAAGACTCGCGTGGTTATTGACTGCTTTCGGAGGTGACGCTAAGAGATCGAGAGCAACGAAACTTAGGGATTCCATATTGGCCGAGGAGATCAGGCCAGCAGCGAGAAGAGGGCACCACAGGTCGCAGTCTGATGCATCTGCATTAAGGCTTGCCACTCCTTCGGGAAGGCACCTTGGAGACCTGGCATCTGGTCGAGCTTTCGACAATGGATGCCTCTGTGGTGAACAGTGTTCGTGTGGAGCACCAAGACTGGCGCCTCAAATACAGGTAATTTTAAACATAATTTATTTAAACATATTCCGTAATTTAGTTACTTTTTCTTTGTGTATACAATAGTCGTCATGCATTGTTAGCTATGATGTATTTTATTATTTACAATACTTATGAGGCTTGACATTGATTATAATGAAACGTGTGCTGATAACGTTGAAGTGCTCACTTGGTTGTTATGCTAGGCTATATTTTTCCGTATCACGTAGACTACTGCATCTATATTGTTCTTTACAAGTGCCTTGTGAAGACTGTTTTGATTTCGAGAAACTTTTTTATATGAACTCTGATTTAATGTGTACCCCTGTACCAACTAAAGTTGTCCACATAAAATTTAGTCTTGTAATATAATATACGAGATTTGCCTCATTATATAACGGATATTTCATAACTGTAGAGCAGTTGCCACGATACTAAGCAATTCCTTGAGTCTAATGTCGAAATGTTTGCAAAATTGTTAAGGATTGGGTATTCACGTTCACATTCTGTAGCACGCGTGTATCCGTGTCGTACTCGTGAGCCAGTCGCCAGCCTACGTAGAACCTTGACTCTAAAGACACGGTACTACGATCATTAACATTATTACGAAATCATGTCTTGCTGCTAATTAACAGCACAATTATTTTATAGAGCCGGTACAAGAATTGGAAATGTGGAAGGACGTAGTCCACATTTAATTTTGATCTTACGAATAAAATACATGTGGTCTTGTTTATATATGGTTAAGTCGTTAAATGGTAATTAAATTCAAACTATTTGGTTCAATGATTTACTTATTCCACTTGTGAAGCATTCTTTATGTCGTTGTTTCCTAATGACGGGTATATCCCCCTATTACTATATTCATGCTTACCCAGTAAAGAGCACAGTATCCTAGGTCACGGGATCATAAAATGTGTCTGTGATTCCACATGTCCTTTAAGTAGGACAACTCAGAATAATGGTATAATTTACCACCCAGAAATAATTATATAGAATTTCAAACTAAACTTCCAACAAATTATTTCGAGAACTCATCATAAATTCATTCATATAGGGACGGTAATTTTGTTAGCGTTTACAAAAGTTTTTATTTCGTGTCTGTAATATTATTTTTAGTCACTGTCATTGATGAGAGTATGTTATAGAGTTAATATTATGTTGAAAGAATATGTGTATGTGATTTGATTAGGAAAGGTATTTGTAAAAGTAGCGTGAATGGTCATATCAACAGGGCCCGCTCTGGTAGAAGACCAGAGTGACCTTGTAGGACTGTGAAATCCTGGAAAAAGTACAGCGAAACACCCGTTAACTGGCTTGCTTGTATATTCAGATGTATGAATATGATCGAACCTAAAGAAGTATTTAAAGACCGTAGGTGACGCTTCGTAGTTTCTGACTTTCTGCTCACACCAATGACACAAGTTTGTATAATATGTAGACTAATTGATTGGTTCATTCGTTCCTATATAGTGGTTTTGCAAAGCTCAGCAAGGTCGTGCAGTTACCTTCACTTAACATCCAACTAGCAAAAAGAGTGGGCATTGATCTTGAAATGTACCTGGCATTTAGTAGCATTATAGATTGCGCAAGTAGGTTTTAATATCTATTGAAATTAAATATGTTTTGTTGAATTAACCACTTCGAACTAGTTGCTTATTTATTCTGCCAGTTTGGCAGAGAATAGATAAATTTATTAATATAGAGACTAAGGTTTTGGCTTGCATGTTGAGTGTGTTTAACAGAATATGGTAATATAAAATTTCATCACGCCTTTTATTCCTGAAGGGGTAGGCAGAAGTGCACATTATTACGGCACCTTTGCCATTGTACAATGTAACACTCACTTTTCATTATTTATGTAATAGGGGGTGAGTCTATTGACATATACCAGACACAATTCCAGACCCTGTGCTACTACTGAGAAACTGACCTGGGAATCAAATCGAGTCCCCTTGTCCTTGCAACTTGGCCAACGAAGCAGTTGCATATAGGAGAATACTATAATAATGGAATAGTCTCTGTTGGTCAATAAGATGAGAAGGATAAAAAGGGGTTAATAATTTCCTACTTTGATCAAACAAATACTGCTATTAATCACTGCAAATGTAAATTTAAAAAAAATCTTTTTATTTACTCTGTGTCTTACAAGTTTAGTGTTAATTGCTACGAAAACCGAACCTTAAATCTGAATAAATAGAGCACAATATTTCAATAGCAAAATAATATTCTTTGTTCTTCTTTTAGATGACCAATTCTATTTAGTTCTTTGCGCAGAAAGTTCCCAGAAATAGAACTCTTTTTTTTAGTTTACTTATTACTATTTTCTTCTTTACTTATTACTATTTGAATTTTTTTATACATAACCACATTGATCACAGAATTTAAAATTTATAAAATCTAAATTTTATTTTAATGTGTGTATTTTTTTTCTTACAAAATTAAATACTTTCGACGATATATTGATTTGCAATATCGTGTGACCTCACGATTTACTACATTTTATAGACTCCTAAACTTAACTCCCTGTTATCTAAGTATTGTTTTCTTTTACGACAAAATTAAAAAATATGTGTCTAATATTTTTTCATTATCTAAATGAGTGGCTAATAACATTTTAAATTTTCATACACTGTCTTAGTAGACAGTAATAAACGGAGCCGCAGAAGACTTAACGGGTTGCCGGGGCTCCGGCTCGAAATGCAGGAGTAGGAACGGGGTGGTTTTTAGTCAGTAAGAGTCTGACACTCCCTCCCGCCTCACCCGGGCGGGAGAACTCATTGGATGATTTTCCCACTTAAAAAAAAGACAGTAATAAATATAGAGTAGTCCCTATATTTATTAATGAGAATAATTTCTACACACACTATCATAACAAATACTATATGTGTTTATGAATGAATCCTGATTGTATCTACAAACGAGGCACTTAGTCGGCAGCTCTTACAAGAAAGCTATAGAAAGTTGTATGACTGTTTTATGTTGATTAACAAACATTGTAGGTTGTATGTTGATAGGATCGTTGTTAGATAACATGACTTACACGCCTCTATCGATTTCCGATAGATTACATAGACTGAGGAAATGTCCTTAGTCACTATTAGTCTACTGATGTTGAAGGAAATTTTCGTTTTTCATCAACATCAATCCATTTCCTTTCACTGCTGGGTAAAGCCTCACTAATACCAAGCGTCTGAACGTGATCTTCAACTCTTTCCATCCAACCACTGTCTCTGCAGATGTCTTAGTCTTCAAATAAGACTAATAGGTGCCCTAGTTAGAGCATACCGTTTCCAACTTTATAACAAAACGATACGGTTGAAAGTCTAATAAACAAGGCAGGTTAGTGTAGGTTGGTCTACTGGCGTTGCTACTAACATTATCAGTGACAACGATCAATGTATTGTATTTCGGTTTCCGTAATCAACTCATTCATTTCAACACCTAGCTTCATTCACAAATATCGCAACATCTTACAATTACTTACAAGTTTTGTACTTGTATTTCTTAATTTGTAACAGTCTGATTGTGTTGCCACTGCTTTGGCACTCCAAAACCATGAATTTCTTTCCATTTTTGGTGATGGTAGCATGTATCATACCCATGTTCTTGATGGTCAATGAGCAAAGAAGTCTGTTGTAAAAATAATCAAGATTATGTATTTAATATAGTTTCTAGTGAAAAACTTACATGTCACGTATAATAGTTGGACACATATGAATGTTTAATTTCATAAGTCGATACAATTGTACAATAAAGTGACTCCGTTAGCCCCTGCTCTCAAGTCCTCGAGTTTAATGATTAACATTGGTACATCACGTGTACTTTTACACGTGTTTTTGTTAAAAACTCGTTGATTTTGTTTCATTAGTCATTACGTGAAATCTAAACATCATCATCGACAGCCGAAAGACGTCCACTGCTGGACAAAGGGCTCCCCGTAATCTAATAGTTGATAATAGAAATCTAATAGTTTTCTAATAAACTTAATGCATAAGAGTAATCACATTACTCGACATTATGTTAGTTAAAAACATATTGATTCTATCTATAGCTATACGGACAAATGACAGTCTGTCAATTAGTTAAACCAAGAAACTTGGATCACCCATTGCGTATTGTGAAGGCTGATGTTAGTCACCCCATACAAAATACAGACATATAGTAAAATCAGTGCGGACTCCATAACTACTTCGTTCTTTCTCCTTTTAAAACATTGATTCGCTAGTGACTAGTCGAAAAGTTCTTGGAAACTTAAAAGCCATCTCCAGAATGGTCTCATCTTTTCCTAGTTACTAAGTAATCAAGTGAAGTGAAGCCGAACACATCTGCGTCTACTTGATTAGAAGCTTGAATTACGTCTCAAGCTTTCTAATAGAGTTTCTACGGTGTTCCCACTATGAGATGAACGAACTTTTCCTATTTGTATGACCTACTTTATAGCTGTCTTCCTGGGTATTCCGTGCAAGAGATAAATGAGAAAAAACCTAAGTAAACAACTCATACACATCCTTTGTTAATTAAAGGATATTAGTATGCACATGACATAACATCAACAGTTTTTCCTGGAGGCAAAAAACCTGTATTGCTTTTAAAAATGAACGTATTGCTGGTCTTAATTCCCAAATCTTATCTGATTGAAAATCAAAATGTACAAATATCCGAAACATAAATCCTCAATTCAGCAATCACCCTTGTGAACAACGAATGTGGTAGTAAATCTCATATGTATTCGCATACAATAAAGCTGTTTTGATCCAGGTTGACCCAGTTTATAAGTCAGGGTCGTTTGTAACAATACAGGCAATACAATCAAACGTAACTGGTCGAAGCCTGGGGCGCGAAAGGTCGTGGAAACCTCTCTACAGTTTTATCTAATGAAATTACGTTACTGTGTATTATAGACACTTGAACATCAAACAACACACAACTGACAAGGTCCTTTCAACATCTTGTATTAAATTCGAAAACGTATTGAAGAAAGTTGTCAGATTTGGGTATTTTGATGTGCTGATGTCGTCTTCCAAAGGACTATATTTAGATATTAAATTACTACCTACGGGGAAAAAGTAAAGGACGTTCTCCATTATATTTTGTAGGACTTTTCCTCGTTCGAATTGCGTACTAATGAACTATCTGTACTCAGTGGTTTATTTTTATTCTGTTTGATGTTTTCTGTGTAATAGCGGACCTGTTTTGTGATACCGGGATTTTATATAGTTGTGAAAGCTTGTGGGAAAGTGATTTTTCGCAATGAATGACTGCCTTCTATAAATGTCTTCTCTTATAAGACGTAAAATGTGTATATAGTTTTCTGTTTTGGAGAACTTTAAGTTGCGTTGAGTGACGTATCAAGTTCTATATATTACAAGCTTTATTCAATTAACTTTGTACTTCTATAGTATCTTCTATATATAATATTTCGTCAGCCAATTCTTAAAGTTAACTGCTCGCGTAATTTCATATAGGAAAAAAACGACAAAGACAAAATAAATATATTCCAGATATTTCGGAACCCTTCCTAACTATGAGAGTAGGGTCCAGTGTTCAATAGCCCATACACTATACCGTGACGTCAGTGAAGAACATATTGATTAATAACCAACCTATCGTGGACGTGGACTGACTTGGAAAGACCAATTACTGTGACTAGTCAAGTGGAACAACTTGTAATATACGGAGGCTTAAAATATCCTCGTAAAATTTTCATATCGAAACAGTTACAGTGGCTTAACGATGTTTACCTCGATAAAATCGCCCCTAAATTCTTTGGACGAAATATATGAGTTTTAGGAGAATATTGGGCTTTATAGTGGATGTTGGAAGAGGAAAGTGCTTACCTTAAAACTGTAAATAAATTGAATTACAAGCTGGTTATAAGCCCCTAGTTTAACTTGAAACTAGTCCAGTTACCTTGAACAAAATACCTACGTTAAGTTCAAAAGAGAATAATTTGACCATTCTTTTACGTACTTCTTTTCTTGTTTGGGTTGGTACTATGAGGGCAAGGTTGGTAAAATTATCGAGCAGTGGCATCTGCAGGAAACTGCGTCTCAATGCCAGTTAGTTATGTTAAAAACATCGGTTTTCTTCTCACGTATAAATTGTAAATTGTAGAGGTGTACAAAACAAAAATTGTTGAGGATAGACCATTCTGTACATTAGAGTTGTAACATTGAAAAGTACTTACAGGCACTTAGGTATTATTACCCCTAATACAATATGTGACCTGTCGATACTTACAGTATTCTTAACACGTTACGAACACACGTGACTGTACGACACTGATTCACCAGCCAAAGGTTTATATACAAGGAGAAAAATAATATAAACCTACATTTATACCTCGCTGTACCTAAAACACCAGGGAATTTCCGTATAAATCTCTACAGTTGACTTGATTTATCTTAATGCCAGACGCGAGCTAATATTTTTAAATCACTGCTCTAGTTGGCATGGTGTTGCTGCAAAAAGTGCTTTTTATTTTAGTTTATTTTGTGTTGAACTTATCTTAGACGAATGTCGAGTTATTTTGAAGATGAAAATCACGAACGCTAATGTGATAATTTTAAGTATTGAAAGAGTAAACATATAGCGAACATCTACATGCTACATAAGTACACATACAAAAATATCGTTATCAAAATATCTCATGCTACCACATTAGAAATCTCTTTGCGAACTTTCGCTCCACTGGCCTCACTCACCTACTTCAGACGTTTTCATTACGTAAAATAAACATGAGCATAACACATTTCAGTTTCTGACGTCACTGACGAACATTGGCCGTCGTCTCGCCGGGGTCGCGGACAAGGAGCGTCGTAATGGCCGTCTCAGGGCCGAACTAGCGACGCTAGACCTCAACCTCCCTGCTCGGGTGTGGTTACCTTTACACCAGAGGCCGCACTATGTGCTCAGGATACCACCGCATGCTGCTGCCGTCCTGAACAGCAAAGATAAGGTGAGTTTTGTACCATTTTATTATAATCGACGTCCCTTTCTTTATCAACTATTCCTGATTCCAATTTGAAGTTGCTTGTGTTCTAATCTCTTTGGTAAATTAAAATATGTTTAGCAATATTACTTCAACCTTACGAGTAGTCTCTCAGTTAAAATGATTGAACAGACTGTAACTCCGCCAAGCGCAAAATTTGTTGAGTGCTAAATCTAGACTTGCTCGATTAAGCGCCTTACTCGTCTGGCAAAAGACTGCGATAAGTACTTAATCTCAAAGTCGGATCTTAAAAGTCGTTGGCTATTTGCGAGTTAAAAACTAAAACGGATTACGCTTAAAGATTATTCCTTTGTAGATCATGTTATGTATTGTATTATATTAAATAAAAACGAAGGTCGTTTACCTTCGGTTGTGTTGGATATCATGCACGATACCCACTACCCCGATTGAATTCTTGCAATAATGAGAAGGTTGCGCAGTGCGCTTGCGTTGCCAATCAACGTAAATCGTATTAGCATTGAGTACAAACTGCTAATGTTGCTTGCAGTACGTTTCACGAATACAAACTCATTTTAATTTCTGTTGTTTACATAAAAATGCCATTTTAAAATCGGTCAACAATCTGAAATAAGTGTAATTCCGTAAAATATGTCTGTGTAGTAACTTTGTAAGTTCTTTTTTTTCTTTAATGCTTAAAAGACTAATAACGGATTTTCTTTGATGCCCGTCCTAGCACTTATTTTATCCTAGCACTCGACTCCATTAAGCTTTAGCCTTTTTGAAACTCAATTCCAATTCAGTCGGACTTTTATTACGATCCGAGGGACTTTCCAACGCAATTTAAATGTTTATGACAATTTGTTTTATATGGCTTCAAAGGGATAAATGAACGAAGCTTGAAACCATGTTTTTTCACCTTTACATTCAAATAAATTAATTTTTATATCGAGTCTTCTAAAGCCTAGGATTTATGAGCTATTAATCTGATTTATCTTTACAACTGAAGTAATATATTCATGTCACATTGTAAGGCATTGTATGTTTTCTTTTGCGATATACATGTTATTGTACTTAACTAATCTTCTGACGATTACCGTTAAAGTTGTTTAGTTTACTCTGTATTTTCGATAACCGTGATAAAGCATGTGACGTAGTCCGCGTAGTGACATTATCAGCGTTTGTTGTAGACAATCGTACGTCCATGGAAACAATATAACATTGATACAGATAACTCTTATGTCGTAACATTAGACGCCATTTTTGTAGTTCAATAGCCCGGTATATACGCACGTAGATCTTTCTGACACCATTCCAATGGTGGTTTGTCGTCGTGAGTCATGGTTCTACCTACCCATAGGTAGTAATTATGACGTCTTTGAATTAGTGGAATACTGCTGTAGTAAAAAGGATTTTGTCACTTGGAAGTCATTCGAATATATGTTATTTATTTTGATATAGTTCTAAAATTCATGATATTGTAAAGAAGCTATTCTTTACAATATCATGAATTTTAGAACTGGGGTAGCCCCCAAACAGTCAAAATACTTTAATGAATATCGACTTTATTTACAAAACTATAAAGTAGAAAATCTATGAAACTACTTTCACAGATCTACATCTGATGTACAGCTTGGAAAGAAAAGTTACTTTGCAATCGTAAGAATTTCAACCTTCTACCGGTTTTCATGAACCCATTTAGTAAGATATTGGACAGATAACAGTTTAATGGATAGTCTAATTACTCGCGATTTCATACAAGGACGTTCCCACGGACTACTTTTGTTTGAAAAGTGTGTGTAGCCTATACATTCGTTAAAGTCTTTAGTAAACTCACCTTGAGGTAACGTATCCACAGAAAATCAAAGTTTTACACCAAAGGGTGGCCTTAATATAGTCAAGGTAAGTTTAATGGCAATTTCCTCATAGGATTTCCCTTCACCATTTACTTATGAACTTAAGAAGTACCAAACATTCGAATTATAATTGTGTAATGTAAAGTCGTAAAGTTTTCTAAATTCTGCTTTTATTACTCACATAGTCGTTAGAATAGTTATTATGAATACAATGATACCTTTCGGAATAATTGTGGTTTATCTTTTTATAATATGAGGCTCGTTCTTGGTAGGCACGATAATTATAATGTGCCTATGTTTATATTTCGTGAAAATATAATTATACATTGTGTTAATTTAATATCCTCAATAGGTAGTTAAATTTTTTAGGTTTCTTAATTAGAACTTCGCAGTATTTTGTTCACATATCTACCTTAAATTCACTATATTCTCTTGAAACATCACCATGATAAGAATCAAGTAATCCATCAATGGAAATAACACCTACCTACAAAGTACAGAGTGTATCTAAAACATTGACAACATAATGGAGCATAGACCACATATCAGCATATCTCAAAACTATTACCATACAATGTTCCACTCTACTGATAAAACCATTCCTCTATTCTATCAAACTGATAACTTCTAAGATAAAAACTATATCAATTGTATTACAATAAGAAACGTAATAAATTCTGATATAATATAACTAGCTGTGTGCCTATAATAGCCAATTAAGAATAATATTTATTCGTATACAGCGACGTGACAGAATTATTTAGTTGTTTTTTATGGGATAAGCTGGTATACGAGCAGGGATCACCTGATGGTAAACAATCGGCGTCGCCCATGTACACCTGGAACACCAGAGGCGTTACAAGTGCGTTACCGGCAAATTGGGCTTATGAATTTGAGGATTGTTGGGGATTCAGGGATTGGGTAAGGGGCGACGAAACACAACGCAAGCGTTATTTCACGTTGGTCTTCTGTGACGCCGTGGTATCACTCCGGTCGAGCCGGCCTATTCCTGCCGAAGCATGGCTCTCCCACACTTTTTTGTTTATTTTAAAAGTAAAACTATTCAATTATGCAGAATATGAAACTGCTAGGGAAAACCGCAACACGATAACTTATCCAACAATTATTTCGAAAGATAAGATTAACTTATAATGAAATTATTAAACTTCACGTAAATAGATAAACTGGATGCAGACGTCAACGACGACCTATCTGAGTTTTCCTTCCTTTTCTTATGAAGGATTAAATTAATAAGATGTATGTGGTTACTAGCTGAATAAATTGTTTGTTTATTTTATTGTTTCGTAAATTAGTTGATAAGACATTTATTAAATTCAACTGGAAAATCTACTTGTCCAACTTCTGCTATGCGTTTGTGACTTCTGAGTTTGATTTGGTATACCTTCTTAAACAGAATGGCAATATTTTAAAACTAAATTATACGACACCATCCAGTTGTAATATTTTATACAACTGGATTTTATAGTGTATTATTTTGTACCCTAATTACTGCATACAAAATAATGTTCTAACAATAATTTCTTTTCTCTCACAGGCCCCATACATAATGTACGTGGAAGTCTTAGAAACAGACGGTCACGAGCCCCTACCGCCTCGTCTCCTACCACCAGCGCCTCCTGCACCACACTCACCACCAATCAGACATACGAAGAGTGAAGAGAACCTGGTACCAGAGTGGCCAGCACTATCCTTATATTCTGGATTAGATGATGGAGACGCAGGCGACTGTTGGAGTCATGATGATGAGGAGCTCAGTACCCAGTACTCACATAGAGCGCCGGCACCGGATAGCTTGTCACAGGTAAGATATTATATATATTAGGTGCGTTCCGCACGCTCAACCTCATAGCGAGTGAGACGGACTTATTCTACTGTTCTCGGAGTGAATTCACAAGGAATGCTTTGTTTGTAATTAGTTATAAGCAATAAGTCAGGATTAAATAGTTCGCATTTATCGCATTGGGTCATCCTGTAATGGTAAATGTAAGTAAGTAAATAAATAAATAAATTATTGATTAAGAATCATTTAAACGTGCCTACGCAACTCCTGAACGACGGCATTAAATTAGATAATAACTTATTGTCATGTCTTTATTGTTAGGACTGGGAGATCGGGAATAACACCCGTGTGAATCCCGGTAGAATCACTCTTATCATAAATTGTTACGATACGAATGAATTCCCCTTTTTTATCCCAACGTCAGAACGGAAGACATCTATTTACAGTAGTGAATCACAGATTGATGGTGATGAGGCCATAAATGGATGACACATACGCCCAAATCACAGCTCACAAAAACTGACAAGTGATCTTTACCGCCAACGCTTGACTAAAGTGCAAGTATTTTATAAACCTTATGTTAATTTTGACATACATGCTAAATGCGAACCGGAACGTTTACGGAAACAGTCGATATACAAACATGTCCGATTCACATGCACATAGTATACAGTTCTTGTCCTACGGTTTCATGTTTACATAGCTATTACAGCTAATTGGACGGTGGTTGCACGCAGACAAGCTATTGTGACAACTCGATTGATAAAATTGAATCGATTAAAAAGTAGTGGGCATCGCGTTCAAGCCATTTGCGTATTGGTTGATTCACGATGCAGTGTACAGCAATTTTAAAATATTTTATACTGGGCTTATTTGCTTAGTTTTTAAGCAAGACTTCCTCAGCTGTGCAAAGTCTTGATAAGTCCCAGACTTTATGACGCGTTTCTCAATTTTAACATACCTAGAATCAATACAAAAATGCTGATTAAGCAACACAACTCTCTGATAATACTGCTTTTTATTGCTCAATATCGTTATCATTTGATAATGATACTTATGTATGTAATAATAACGTAATTAATACATTGAGGCTTCGTCCTTAAACTCGTGAAATTGATTGGTAATTTTACAGCTGCGGATGTTATTTTCGTTGAGAGTTTATGATGCTAATTTCAGCTTCCTGTCAGGCAAATTATTGCCCTTGAATTTGACGTGATAATTATGAGTATGAAACTGAACGTTCTGTTAAACGTGCTTTGTTTTTGTGTATTTTATTGAAAATCAAATCTTATTGAAATAGTTTGTACTTGATTATTGATGAATACTCATGTAGTATCACATATGAGACAGTATTCATAACTAACTTTGTCTGAGAAAATAGAGGACTTGTTTATTAGATAATAATTAATAAGTAAAGTTAAATGGTCACTAAATATCTAAAACTATACATATGACGCCATAATAAATGAATTCCAAGTCACTTCACACTAACAAAATAACTATACCTAATTGTTACTCCCGTCTAAACCCAGACTGAAATCCCGCAACAGAGTTCTTTGTCCTAATCCTAGTCCATCGATAACTCATGAGAACAGGTCAACCTACGCCTTTCTATCAAACTCTTTATTATGATTTACAACTATATCGTTTTGGTATAAAGACGAAAATCCAATGGAAAAAGATTAATAGATTAGAGTAGCTTGACCTGCTGGCTAGTACTTCTGTACCAGTGCCATTGCACCCAAACACGTGCGTGTTAGGGCACGTGTATTTACTCGTGTGTAGGGAACAGAGTTGAACGTTTGCTCAGTAATACAGTAACAATTTATTATAATAAATTGCTGAGAAAATGTAGACCTTATCGTGATCCTCGTTATTCATTAAATTACTTTCAAGACATGGACATAATTAAAAGAGTTTTCTCTCATTACTATTTTCTCTCAAATTGTTAGACGATTAAAGTTCAATTTCAAACGTATTTCTTCAAGTTTTTGATAAGTTTATCTAGTGGATAGTGGATATCTAAAGACTTTGAAACCTTATATACTTTTATCAATGACTTATGTAAACAATCCGACTCTGAGTAATTAATTACAGTTCAAGATGACAGAAAAGTACATATTTTCTGACTGATATTAAGGTATTGTGTGTATAGAATCATTCGACTGATTAGGTACAAAATTGTTCATGTTTCTGTGTGTGACTATCTAGTTGTTTAACTATAATTTGCGCAGCCATACTTTTTTAAATTACAGACCGACTGAACAATGAACTAGCCAGTGTTTTCCCCGTAGCATATACCTACCTATGTATGTTTTTAGAAACACTGCTTAGTAGACTAGCTTAAGATAGATTTATTATTATTTTTATTTATGACTGCCTCGTTGGCCGAATGGCCGCAAGTGGTAGTAGCACGGAGTCTGGAAATGTGCCCGGTATATGGCAATAGGCTCACCCCCTATTACATGGGACTCATAACATAAATAGTGAAAAGTGGGTGTTACTTCTGTGTGCACCTCTGCCTACCCCTTCGGGGATAAAAGGCGTGATGTTATGTATGTATGTTATGTATTTTTATTTAAACACATTGTTGCTTAGTGATAAAATCTAAATGAATAACTAGAAACGATCCAAGATCATGAAACCGGTTGTTAAATGAACTTTTTCTGCTCTATGACACGTAATTATATTTAATCTGTTGTCGCGTTTCACGTCACTGGTTTCTTTTTTTATTTGACCTACGTGGATTTAATAATGAATGGTGACGTAAAAGGTCTTTAGCTAAAATCATTAGGTTTATCCATATACTGATTACGTACGTTAGTTTATTGGTTAATTATGTGTGATTATGTACGTTTTTAAATGAGTTGGATATTTATTAATAACAATATTATTATGGATCATTGGCCTTTCTAAGAGTGACGTAACGGTTTTAAACATTTATGTACATAATTAATTATGTATTCGTATTTTGAAATGGTTTTCGATAACTGTGCTAATATGTTGTTTATAGCTCTGCTATTGGATTTGGTAGTACTAGAAGTGCAATAAACCTTATTGGCCGAGTGGTCGCAAGTGCGATTGAAGGGTTCTCGGGTTCGATTCCCGGGTCGAGGAAAGTATTACTTACTGGGTTTTTCAAAAAAATTCACAGTAGTAGCACGGAGTCTGGAATTGTACCCGGTATGTGGCAATAGGCTCACCCCCTATTACGTGGGAGACTCATAACATAAATAGAAAAAAGTGGGTGTTACATTGTGGCAGAATGTACACCTCTGCCTACCCCTTCGGGGATAAAAGGCGTGATGTTATGTAGAAGTGCGATAAAGTGGATAAATTTGTCTTCTATTTGCTACAGAAACAAAAGCTTTCTGCGCAATAAGCATACTTTATGCTTGAACATTTCTGATACTTATTTATTTTCTATGCCCACTTAGTTCAGACACTCACAATGTAGGAAATACCTCGTTTCATGACAAGATAATGACTCAGGGAAATTACTTGATGCAATTATAATAGAAGAGAGAGTTTATTATACTATATTGCACCCTTTCACCTCGCATATTGCAGCTGGGGATAGTTAAAAGCTATAATTATTGCTGCAGATAATGTCACATTGCATTTTCCCTACTAGCTTATGTAGAAATATTTGTGTCTATTACTACGAATGCCATAATATGCCATACTAAATGTACATTCGATGTTGTACTTTCTATACGCTCCAAGCGCCTTTGGAAAAGGTGCTTGTTTAGCTTTAGGGGTCTCTGGGATTCATATCTTCTTATACTTTGGTACTGCACGGAGCATGGAGGACGAGGATTAATTCCATGATATAGTTCTTTAATAATACGTATACCCACAACTAACCCTTTGTTTTTATAATACTTATCGTGAGACATACTAATTTAACTAAAACGGCGGGTTACGACGTTGCCTCTACCTACCTCTTTGGAGATAAAAGGCGTAATGTTATGCTATGCATTATTCCTTAGTTCCCAGGTAAGGAAACTTATTCAATGTCTCATAATCATTTCGTTTGGTCTCCAGGTGTCAGCAGTATCAGCTCTGTCGACGTCGTCGTGTGGGTCGCGCGAGTCAGTGGCCGTAGGTGCGGGCGAGGTGCGGCGCCGACTGGCCGACGCCACGGCCGCGCCGCCACCCAACGCCTTCAGACATGATCCCGCTGATCCATCCGCTACGGCGCTCAAGGTGAATTATCTTATTATGACATTACTAACTGCTCTTAGCACTTATGCGATGATGGATATCCTTGACTCGTACCAATTGGACTTGACAGGTTTAACAGGTGGCTCTTATTAGGTAATATTTTATAGGACGCTTTAGTAGAAATCACGGCTGTATAAGGAAGTTAAAAGGGCAATAGAGTCTTGCACTCTATGATACTATTACAATAAATTAAGGGGTACAGCACTACCCCCAGTCCAGATAAATGTACTTTAAGCCATATAAGAATAAAGATATAGACTATGTATTACTTGATCGCGAGGAAAGCTGTATCGGCCTCCACAAATACGGCCGCCTCAACGTGACCACGACCGCTCTGCCAAGAGCGAAACGACAGAGAAGAAGAAGATGTATTACTAGTTATCACAATTTAATTCTGTACAATTTCTTACAGGAATCGTGGGAAAGCAAATACGCTAGAATGCGTTCATCATCCCCATACGGAGCGCTCAGTGGTTGGCGTCTACTCGGCTGTATCGTCAAAGTAGGAGACGACTTACGTCAGGAAATGTTGGCGGCACAACTGCTGCGAAGGCTACAAGCTGCCTGGGTCGCCGAGCGAGTGCCACTGAAGCTCAGACCATATGAAATACTCTGTCTTGATAAGGAGTGCGGTCTTATACAACCCGTGAGTTTTTCTCATTATATTTTGCCATTGTCATCAACTTTAGTTTCACTTGCGTGAAGGCTCGTACACAAAACTACGGTGCGACGTCGCATCGTAAAAATGTGCGAGCTCCCTCTACGCATCGCAAGAACTTGCGAATTGATTAGCATCGCGACATCAAAATCTTATCTTCCCAAAATCTTCTTTGTTTCTTTCTCTTCGGTATCTCCTAAGCAATAACAGAAGTGCACACTTCTTTTTACGACATATCACGACTTAGTTTTCAATTAAAAATACGTTTAGTACGGTTGACTGTCGTCGAAGGAATGGTCACCCTGGTAAACGCCTTGTCGCACGAAATCGCATCGCAGCAATTAGCATCGTAATTTTTCGCTTTGCGAATCCGCATCGCATCGCAGTTTTGTGTACGAGTCCTTACGCGGATTCAAACTTATCGTTCGAACTAAGAATGGGCACACTGATTGTGGTATGATAGTCGCTTCGTGTAAAGTATTCAGTTAAGTCGTATCTGGTTTAAGCTCTACCAACGAATCAATACCCCAATAGTTTAGGAAAATAATAAAGAACTGCGTATACCTGTAATTAGGTAATATGTAGTTGTTTAGTAACCACTGCACAATGGAACTTTTACAAATAGTAACCTCAACTAATAGGATTTTCCAAGTTTACCTAATTCACAGATGTTCATAAGAAGCTACCTATTACATGTTTTTATCACAGTGACTAATATAAGTGTGTTTATGCAATAACATATTAAATTATGCTTTATTTGCGTTTGTACGATATTTATGTTTCATTTCAAAACAATGAGTCAATAATCAATATGTCATGGTAGGTATAATTTATTTTTAAACCTTAATCCTTTATCTAGATTAGATAAAAAGTCTGCATGATGAGATAAACCAGAACTCGAGCACTGAATGTGATAATAAGTTCCTTTTCATTGTATAATGGAGTGTTTTTACCGACTTCAAAAAAAGGAGGTTCGCAGTTTGACCTGTATGTATGTATGTTTGTGCGCGACTATCTCGCAATTAGCTGAACCGATTTTGATGCGCTTTTCACCAAAATGTTTGTAACACTTAGGAGAAGGTTTATTAATAAATCCGACCTCAAAAAAGAATGGCTTTAAGTCGGTTTTTTTAACCGTAGTAGTTTAGAAAAGAATTGTTAAACAATACTAAATGTATGTAACATAAACAAACTGCTGGAGGGTACGCGCAATTAAAGTTACCCACATGGTCCGCAACGCATTTGTTTCCTCTGGGTTTGTGTTCTTGTATACGTGTGCTTCGACGTCCGATTATTACCATTAGTAAGTTATAAGCTAATAAGCGGGCCGTAAGCTTTGTTGATATCTATAATAGTATTAAAATCATATTCTGCATGAGCATACAAATATTTATAAATGCGATAATTATAAAGCCAATACAAATTGTGTATTGCGACGCGGTTACTCAAATAACAATCGTTGGGTATGTCTATCAGTTGGTTATCTAGTGTAGCTAATTGCTCGATTAGGTATTACGTATACCTATAATTGTTCTAGAAATAAAATATGAAAATATATGTCTGTTAAAAATATTCTACATTTAGGCCATGATGTGTTGTTTATGGTTGTTGTAATCTATATTAATAATTTCGTCAAGAAGTACCGTAGACTCGATCGAAACATTACCTGAACAACAAAACATAAAAAAATATCGATTTCGAGTCGACAACATATATCCGCAAAATTCGGATTACGGAGATTATTTCGTTTTATTAATTTAATGACACTGACAGACAAACCCTCGGAACAATAACTAAAGCATGGAAGCCAGGCTAAAATAACAACTACAATCCATATATTCATCTTTTTTTTACTTATGGTATTGATAGTGTATAAGAAAGAGACAAGTGTATTGTTTCGTTTCGTTATTATGTAGGTTGTCACTACTTGTAAATATGCTAGTGATGGGAATAAATTAATATATTTTATCGACAAATTATGGTACCTGAAAGTATTGCTGCTGTGATTTAACGTACGATTATACGAACGGTTCTTAATCTGGATATCGTGGGTTCAGAAATAAAACACAATATTAAAAAGATAATTTAATTGCTCACAAACAAAGCATATTTACAAACCGTGGTAGTGGTGTACTGTTATGTGTTTATCATTGACTTTTAAATATAATTGTCTTTGTTAAATATGTGCGAATTTTTTCGGTAGGTACAGTCAAATTTTTAGTTACATAATGTATCCTAAGTTTAAAATATTTTTGTGATATGGACTTTATAAGATTTCTGTGATCATCATAGAAAGATTGTTCTAATGAATAATCTTTTTTTTGACGGCAACACATTTGCTGAAACTTTATTAATCAATCTAATAATTATTTTGGTTTACCGAGAGATTTTGAATCAATATGCACTTGATATTCTCTTATAATTTTTTCGGACAGTTGACAGATCTTGGTTAAGCCATATGTTGGTTTAAATAGGCCTCCTCTATATTTAAAGATATCAAAGATCTTTAAGGAATACTCTCCGTATTTCTAGGCATTTATCGCATTGTAAAATTTTTTTAATTTCGTTCCGATAAAGCCGATTATGTATTCTATGACATTCTTAGAATATTCCGTAATAGATGATGGGTACAAAATGTAGTCGTGTTCTGTCAAATCATCAAAAGTATCATGTGACTCGGGCTCTAAACGACGTCTATACTATAAAGAACTTCAAAGCCTAACTAAAATATCGATATGTAACATGACCACATCACTAGCTTAAAAACTAACTTAGAAAATTGATTTAGATTTTTTAGGAAAAGATGGAATAATACTGTTTTGGCTTACAATTGAAAAGTACGAATATAAATAAGTAACATTTATTTATAGTTTACCAGTATTTCCAGTATAATTTATTTTAAAACATATCAAAAAGTTACGAATGAAAGTGAATTTTTTCACCACTGTTTTCTTTTCTTCCTAAATGTGAATTGCAGCCGTCAATCACACAAGACGTATTTTTATTAAGTAAAACACATAATAAAGAACGACTATACACTTTTTTTCTTCCTTTCTTTTGCGCTAATTCCTTAGAAAATATTTTTTATTATCAGGAGCCGTAAATACAACCACGGTGACACTTCAGTACTATAATCCGGCAAAGTGAGGAAGGTGTCAAACTTGAGTGAAACTGTGAAACATAGAACGTCAAAACGTGATTTTGAATTTGGTAGTATGCTGAATGAGTCCAATGACATAAGATTGTAATGAGTCCACTGAAAGTTGTGACAACCTGCAAATTATCAGAACTATGTTCAGTTTGCGGTCTCATTCTCGCCTACGCAAAATCGTGTAAAGAGTGAGAGCATCAGATATATGTTTGTAAATTGCTATTTTAGCCTGGCTTCCATGTCTAGTTATTGTTCCGAGGACAAACCGCAGTCGCCATCTTGAATAGACAATAAACGTTCCGTTTCATACTAGCTCTCAAATACGCCTCGCCAATCAACACGTTGTCGCGTCAAAAAAATATAAATTAACAAGAAATATGACTAATTTCACGCGAACGAAGTCCCGGGTAACAGCTAGTTATAAAATAAATTTATATTCGTGAATCATTTAAATTAAACTGAAGCAAACCATTTAGGATTCTACTAACGTCCAGTTTCTATAAAGCTATCTATCTGTAGATTTGCTTCCTAGAGATAGAATTTTGACACATTTTGTATGGAGCTCATGTCAAAATTCTATCTCTAGTAAGCAAATCTACAGATAGATAGCTTATAGAAACTGGACGTGAATAAGGCCTTATTTTTATCTTAGTACCTAACCTTCTTTTTATTACCTCAAAGGTCCTGAACTCAGTATCGCTGCATCAGATCAAGAAGCAATCAGGCAAGTCTCTCCGCGCCTGGTTGGAGTTGGAACATGGTCCTCCCAACAGTGAGGGCTTCCTCCGCGCACAGAATAACTTCGTGGAATCCGCGGCCGCATATGCCCTTACCAGCTACCTTCTGCAACTTAAGGATAGGTCAGCACCTTTATTACATTCATATTTTATACATAACATAACGCCTTTTATCCAAGAAGGGGTAGGCAGAGGTGCATACAGAAGTAACACCAACTTTATTGTATTACTGGATATTTTAAAGAAATTCTCAGTAGTAGCACAGAGTCTGGAAATGTGCCTGGTATGTGGCAATAGGCTCACCCCCTATTACATGGGGCTCATAAAATAAATAGTGAAAAGTGGGTGTTACATTGTACAGTGGCATAATGTACACCTCTGCCTACCCCTTCGGGGATAAAAGGCGTGATGTTATGTTATGTTTCGATTCCTTTTTACTTATGTATACCTGTACTTTTGAATACGAACTACGGAAAGACAATATTTGTTATTCTCACATTCATTTGTTTGTTTCAGGCATAACGGAAATATCTTACTGGATAGCACGGGCCACATAATCCACATAGATTTTGGATTCATATTCTCAATATCACCAAAAAATCTTGGATTTGAGAGCTCACCATTTAAGGTATATTAAATGCACTTTCATCTGACTTTTAACGATAAAACTGTTTGACAATAATGATAATAATGATTTTATTTATTTTTCAGTTGACACAAGAGTTTGTGGACGTGATGGATGGCGAGAATTCCGATATGTTCCAGTACTTCAAGATTCTAATCTTGCGCGGTCTCATCGCGGCGCGTAAGCATTGCGACCAGATCATACACGTTGTGGAACTCATGCGCATGGGTGAGTTATCGCTAGATTATACTGAAATGTGTGTCCTATGTGATTATTCTGAAAAGAAGAAATATCAAAACACACATAACATTACGCCTATGATCCCCGAAGGGGTAGGTAGAGGTGCACATTACGGCACTTAATGCCACTGTACAACGTAACACCCACTTTTCACTATTTATGTTATGAATCCCGTGTAATAGGGGTGAGCTTAATGTCATATATCAACACCAAACTCGGAGATTGTGCATAGAACTGTATTTTTTAATCCAAGTAAAAGAAAAATATATAGTCAAACAATGCAAGTTCATTCTCTAGTGATCTTTTAAAGACATAACTGCATAAGTTTTGAGTCGACCTGCAGCTGTAGCCAATTGCCATTTAGCGCTTGTCTACATGTAGAATAGAAAACTAAATTATATGGAATTGACGTAAATTTTGACACTTGTCAGTGTCATCTCCATACTATTAGTTTTCTACTCTCTCTGTTGAAAAGCGCTAAAGTGGCGTCACGGCACTGTTCTGATAGCCATGATGTGTAATAACAATGTATCGTTGCAGGCGGCCAGTTGTCGTGCCTGCGCAGTAGCAGCGCGGTGTCGTCGTTCCGCGCGCGCTTCCACGTGGGCCGCACGGAGCCGGCGCTGGCCGCGCTCGTGGAGCGCCTCGTGCGGGACGCGCTGCACTCGCTGTCCACGCGGCTCTACGACAACTACCAGTACTACACCAACGGCATACTCTAGCCACGCACACTGCTCTACGCCTCTATATAGCCCCGCTACACAATACCATACACACTAGTCCAGTACGGACAACAATTTTATGTATGCCTTTGACATATGTCAAATTTGACGTTTGTCAATCGTATACATTGATTTTTCTGTTCAATTCGATTAGTGTTTATGGTATTGATCTAACGTGGCTATCTTGTCTCACTTTTTAACCCTTTACCGACTCTAATATACAAGCTTGTAATGGTAACACCACGCGATTGTAATCCTTAATCTCCGTCAGAATGACTCAAGTTTCGTAAGGTTTGTTGCCTGTACGATTCACTACATCGCACCAGCCCTGTACTACGATAGATTGCTTCGTAGCTAAACTCTTGTAAAATGAATCAATCGCTTGTTTATAAACTGATATCAGGTGTCGTTGAAGGGTACTTTGATATTTAATTTTGTTACTATATCCTAGCTTCCTGTATGAGCACCCGCACTTTAAGAAAATTGATAGTTAAATGAAAAGAAATTCTTAAGTAATATTTGAATTGAATGTGTTATCGCTCTCTTACTGAAACTCATTTTCTCATTATACAGAGTGTTACATGAGAGTTGACATCGATCTTCAATGCATATATTGGTTTAGAAAATTCAAGAGTCCCACACTACGTTAACTTGTAAATCATAGCTTACATCACGTAGATTTTGTAAATTGTAGTGCCATAACCCTCGGACACACGCTGTACCTTGAAACTTTAGTCTTATTTGCTCAAACATTAACACTCGATCATTCACGAATATTTTTGACCCGTCCACGGTAGATCCCGATAGTGCTTTGTAAAGATAAAAAAGATTGACAGAATATTTTTCATGTATAAAGGTTACTGTGCAAATAGAATGTTATAAAATTCTAAAATAAAATATGTAAATAATAAAATGAAATTATGATAATTTTCGCAATGAGAAGACTGATTGTTCAGGCATGAAGAGTGGTTTAGATTTAGGTTTCTTAGCCCATTAAATTTAAGTTTTATCCTGTATGTACATTGGAAGTTATGAATGTGAAACGAATGCGGAATGCTAAATTGCTGTTACTGACGTGAATGCGAACGATATGCCAAAGGAATGTGTAAAAATGGCATTGTTTTAGATGTTAATACTTTTAGAATAATATGGAAATCGAAAATCTTATTGTTAAATGTCCAACGCTAGATAGACTCGGAGACACCAATAAATTAGGTGGATCTATATAACAAAATAGATGTTTTACGAATATATCAATGTATGTTTGATGTATGGGGTTATTGTTATTCAGTGTTGTGGGCAGTGTTGCCATTAGGTAGGTAATGGAACCAATATTATTGTACTATTAAATGATGGAGTAAACATTGATTAGAAGTATAATTTGTATCATTGACCTTTCGACATCTTAAGGGTTTCAAAGGGGAGTGAGAATGTTGCCAAATTTTTAACTATAGCAATGACAAGATGTTATATTTTTAAATATGTCCACTCTAATATTCCGATTTTCTCCTCAAAATAAATGACATACTTTAAGTAATAATGCAGTATGGACCGAGTTAGCCAGTATGTTTATATATTTATTGAGAATGTAGTTTTACACTAATTAATTTTGATGGTTTCATCATGAATTTCGAACTATTTCTCTTATGTTGTTGTTGCAACTTTGGAGCAAATATAAATAAACAAACTGGTTGATTCCTGGCTATACTGAGATAGGAACGTCAGTCACAGATATAATGTTTTATATCATAATAAAATGCCTGAATTTAGCGTGGCAATAATGTCTGGAGGCAAGAATGTATAATACCGTGCATTTTATTTTACGACGTCATATATTTTATATTTATATTTCTTGTATAATACGATTATTAACTAGATTACAGTGTCAAGTTTTAGTTGACACATTATATTTGGGGCCAGTTTACGTCGTTGCTTTGGTTTGTTTTATTGGAATGCTATAAATCAAGCTGTCAGTTAATGTTGAACTTGGCTGTTTAAATTGTGGAACATATGCATGTAGTCGTACACGGAGCAATATGAAAATGGTCGGAGCTAACTGTGTTATAGGACAGATCATGTCTTCCCCCTTTTCACTGCCCAAGAAGTTGGGCTTTATTTCAGTGTAGTTTCATCAATCTTTGTCAACTCCACTTACGTGAATTAGATCTGCATATGAATCAAGCAATAACATGCCTTATTTTAAAGTAATTTAAGATTATTTTGCGCTTTTTATGTATTTAGCTCTTTCGCTAGGCGTTCAAGATGTAAACTGGCCTTTAACGACGTTATTCATAGTTTTGTATAAATTGCCTCTCAGCTTAAACTCTAGCCTTAATAAAACCTGTATTTATTACCATTATATTTGTGTGTGGGTGAACTATTATTATGTCGCATTGGACAAATACATAGTATATAATTGACGTACCTTTAAATATTATATTCATTGTAGTCTCATATTTGTTTAAAGTTGAAAATTATAATTATATATCTGTATATAAACGTTTTCGCTTATGGTCAATATTAAATTATTCTGTTAAGGAAATATTGAAAATGTCCGAAACTAAGATAAACTTTCTCCTCGAAATTAATTCGTTATTTATCATCATGTACAGGTAATTATAAGTAGGTACTCTAACATCTATCGTTTATCTTAATTTTTTAAATATACATAATCATGATTTTTTATGTGGCTTTTATTTTATCGACTCCTTTATGATATCCATAAATTATAATATTTTTATAGACATTCTGCCCATCTGCCTTTTGTCCATTTGTCCCTGTGTTGACTAGTCACTGGGACCAACTGAAGATGAAGAACAAGGTCGTAGTTGCCCTGCGGGTTTTTTTATTATTAATTGATGAGACTTGGCGCGCCTGTTGAATGCTTACAGTTCCCCTATACTTATTATACTGTTTGGCTTACAACTGGCACATTTTTCTGAGCCTCCCAAAGATGGGAGTGCTTTTCTATACACGACTGGGCTGAGTGAGCAATTGTTTCGGTGTTAAGTACCGCCTATACTTGTTAAGAGTACCCTCTATACTTATACTCTTTACGTTCCCCGAACATTACATACATAGCTAGACTTTCGCTGACAATTTGTGTGACTGTCAATCCTTTTGGGAAATTTATGTCACGATGGTATGAACTGCCAAGTAATGTTAAATCTAAAGATAAAGATAAAGACATTTATTTGCGTAAAACATGGTATACAAAGATGTTATAATTACAATATAATATAGATCATCATGTTTTGCCATAGAGCAACACAGGCCACCGGCGGACCGGAAGGGAGTAGCCATACATAGGCGTTCTCCTCTGTCAAAGTATAAGTCCAAATGGTCCTATGCGTACAATAAAACTAGTTGCAACTAAACTGCTCACTAAACTAAATCTAGTTGCGTTAGTGAATCGACGGCGTCGTAAAAATGCCGAATTGTTCTGTTTTTTGCTGCAAAAAGAAATCTGCCACGTCAAATTCTCCTTGTTGCTTTAAGCGTTTTGCTTAATAAATAAAGTATGCAAATTTTAACTTAAAATTTATTTTAACTAACTTACACTCGTAGTTATAAGTTATATATTAATAGTAAGTAGTAAGAATTCTAAGTTATTAGTATAATGCGTCAAGCGTGTCTTTGCATTGTTCTTACATATGCGTACAGTATTGAAATATGTATCAGAGACATTGTAGAACATACTTTTTAAAAAGAGTAACGAATGGAGTTTCTTGCTCGTTCTTCTCCATTCGAATCTACTTTTTGGAATGATCACCTAGTTTCACTGACGGACTGACTGACAGACTATTATTTATTTTGTATTTTTTGACGTTTCAAAAGTACTAAACTATGGTTTAATTAAAATAAATGCTTTGACTTTGACTTTATATTATTATTATTTATGCTCAAAAAATTGCTGCTTTAAAAATTATTTTCATTCAACGATATTTCATTTAACATTACTACTTGAAACCAATGCAAGTTTTAGCATGGTGAAGGTGAGGACCGCATCACGCAATTTTTCAGTTATCAAAATAATAATTAGTAAATCGATTCACTCGACTAATTAGTCAGTCGCCAGAATCGGATGAAAGCAATTCATGAAATTCCATTGGTTTAATGTCAATGTCAAAATAAAGACTGTCAAAGAGACGGAAGACGTCAATGTCGTACAAAATAAAGACACGAGTGTTTTACAGATTTCACGTGTGTGTATGTGAATTGTGAAATAATGTTAGTCTGTAAATATTGAAATTATTTAATTGATCGGTTCAGTATGTCTTCTAAAGACAAGATAGACCACCTCCCGGGATTTGATGCCCCGGAAGATGCGTTGACAGTGGGAGATGAAACCCCGAATAATAAGAAAAAAAAGAAGTCTGGTGGGGTTCAGTGGATGGGATTAAGTTTCCCAATACTTAAAGGATTGACAAAACGAGGATATAAGCAGCCAACTCCAATTCAGCGCAAGGTAAGTGAATAAAACAGATATTTAGAACTTAACCTCAAAAACACTCCATTTCAAACTTTAAATACATACTTTTATTAATAGTTAAATACAGTTAAATAAAAGTAGTGTATAATTTAATTACACAATTATAATGATAATTACATAAATATAACTAGCTGTTTCCTGCGACTACGCCCGCGTAGAATGACTTCTGGCAGAATTTGCACTTTTGAATTAGTCTTTACATAGTTAATAACAGTTGGTGGAGTTGTATGGTAGAGCTTATTCTTCTTTCAATCATTGATGAAAATGATTTGTAGAGGCTTGAAATACATGCAGTACTTTTTGAGTTCATCCCGGGTATACACACATATACGCACCAAGTTTTTTTTTAAATGTTCTTTGTATAGTTTTGACTTTCCTACAATTTTATTATATGTCTAGATTTATAACTCTTGGTTTTTGTTTTCAGACGATACCTCTTGCGCTGACAGGCAAAGATGTAGTTGCTATGGCCCGAACAGGGTCGGGTAAAACGGCATGTTTTGTCCTCCCTATATTGGAGAAACTGCTGGCTCCAAACACCAAGCCTATGCCTGGAAAGAACTTCAGAGCTCTCATCCTATCACCTACTAGGGAGTTGGCTTTACAGGTAATGACTATTTTGAATATATTTATAGAAACCAAACAAGTAGACTACCCAGCTAACTAATAAATTAGTAAAAGTTTACATAAATTATATCTTCACTTAAAATAACCATGGTATTGTGTGGGTGTCTATCAGGTGGTCCATCTGCTTGTTTACCTCCTTTTCCTTAAAAAAAAAGATTTCATTACTAAAGCTATTCCCTAATGTTAAGTTTACTAAATTCCTAGTTTTGTCCTAGTTATATCATTTCACACTCCCTAGTAAATATAAAAAAAAAATACATACATACATACATAACATCACGCCTTTTATCCCTGAAGGGGTGGGCAGAGGTGCACATTATGCCACTGTACAATGTAACACCCACTTTTCACTATTTATGTTATGAGTCCCATGTAATAGGGGGTGAGCCTATTGCCATATACCAGGCACAATTCCAGACTCCGTGCTACTACTGAGAATTTTTTTTAAAACCCAGTAATACTTTGCCCTACCCGGGAATCAAACCCGAGACCCCTTGCCCGGTAGTCGAACTTGCGACCAATCGGCCAATGAGGCAGGCAGAGAAAAAAAAATATTTAAAGAAATAGCCTTGTTACTGCAACAGATATCCTATTCTCATTTGTTCTAGACATTAAGATTTGTAAGAGAGCTTGGGAAGTTCACCGGGCTGTCTTCAGCAGCTATTCTCGGTGGAGAGTCAATAGAGCAGCAGTTCAGTGTGATGTCCGGTACAGCCCCAGACATTGTGGTCGCAACTCCAGGACGTTTCCTTCACATCTGTATCGAGATGAGCTTGAAACTTGATAATATACGTAAGATTTTTATTATAATTTGGGTCTATTTATGCAGTACTGAGAGTAATGCCTGTAGACATAATAACTATAACAAAAAGCAATTTGTTTTTCTAACTGGTTATGTTATCAAGCCTATTGAATAGTTCAATCAACAAATACTGGACACATATCTTTATCCAGTTAGTATTCTTCTTTGTTCGTCTTGTGGTGCCACAGCATTACTCTATTAACATCTTGGTTATATTTTTGTATCTGCAAGTTCAATCTACAGGCTACTTTAATATTATTAACACGTTAACCGCCACATAGGTGACCTACGTTAGCGGAGGATTTGCCTTCAATAGTTTTCCATCGGCAGTCAAAGGCTTAATACTCAATTTTTCTTTAAACATACATTTGCAGAGGTCATAGTATTTGACGAAGCTGATCGCCTCTTTGAGCTTGGTTTTGGAGAACAACTGCGAGAAATCGTTGCCCGGTTACCATCATCCCGTCAAACCCTGTTATTTTCGGCAACATTACCAAAAATGCTGGTGGAATTTGCCAGAGCGGGTCTGACTGACCCGACCCTAGTGAGGTTGGATGTGGATTGGAAGCTACCATCAACTTTGTGGCTGGGTTGGATCGCAGTGAGAGCGGAATTAAAGACAGCTGCCCTGTTGATTCTGTTAGACAGAGTTTTAACCCCAAAAACACCGCAAGCAGTTGTCTTTGCAGCCACTAAGCATCATGTCGAGTATTTGAACTTAGTAAGTAGATACTATTTGATTCTTCACATGCATGCATTGTGTATTTTTCAAAATCATTTAAAATTATGTCAAATATTATTCAATAAAGTCTTTTTTTGGTTGACTAAACCAACCTATTGACCAAGAAACCACTCTAATCCAGATTAGAGTAAGATGTTGTTTGTCATGTATTGCAGATACACATAATTATGATACATGTGGTTTACACGCACCTTTTCTGGTCTAAATATAATTTTTTTCTCTTTTTCAGATTCTACAGCAGGCAGGCATATCATCTACATACGCGTACTCCGGCCTCGACGCATCGGCTCGTAAAATAGCTCTCGGTCGCTTCACCAACAAGAAGTGCTCAGTATTAATAGTTACAGACGTCGCTGCTAGAGGTCTCGACCTGCCCGCTCTAGATACTGTCATCAATTACAACTTCCCCGCCAAACCAAAGCTTTTTGTGCATAGAGTTGGTAAGTTTTATTTTATTGAACACTAACAACTTCCACGCGGTTTCACACGCCCTGCTCAGCTCCTATTGGTCGTAGCGTGATGTTTTACAGCCTATAGCCATCCTCGATAAATGCGCTATCCAACACAAAAAGAATTATTCAAATCAGACTTGTAGTTGCGGAGATAAGTGCGTTCAAACAAACAAAAAAACAAACTCTTCCGCTTTATATAATAGTATAAGATTGAATTCAGACAACGCGGTAACATTTAACCATTAGGTACATACAAATCGTAGTTAATACTATGTACAATGTGAAAAACATCGCTAACTAAAAACATCCCACGTGTGTCACTCTGGTCATCGGTTTGTTTGTTTGCTTACCTGCAAATATTTATAACGCGATTGCATCTTCACTACAACTCTAGTAACTTAAAATACCGAAAATCACAGTAGATACTCTTCTCAAATAATATCGAATGTACTCGAGTGAGTGATTTTCATAGCATTTTACTAGCAATTTTGCCATCCCTCAGGTCGCAGTGCACGAGCCGGCCGCGCGGGTCGTGCATTCTCCCTCATAGCACCAGAAGATGTCGCTCATCTACTAGATCTACAACTCTTCCTCGGAGCAGAGCTCATATCTCCATCTCAAGTCAAAGAGAGAGGATCCGCATGTCCCAGTGGAGTCTGGGGCGCCATACCTACGTCACAACTCGAGCTGAGGCATCAGGATATTATGGCGTGGGAGAAGAATGTATCAGAAATTGTGAGTTGTGTTTTATTATTTAAGAATTGGGTAGTTATCTAGGATAAAATCAATTATTTTCACTTTTCAATTCAATATAATATTCAAAAATATACATACGTTCATTCATTGACTTGACAATATATTCAATTTTTGAGGTTTTCTAACTAATTTTTAAGAAATAAGTGTGATTTTTGGAGCTATAACTTGATGACGTCATATGTATTTCACACAAAATTCAAAGAAAAGTATTGTTTTTGACATTTCGATCATATTCATGACAAGCATTCCGCGACCCGCGACGCGGCGACTGTCGCGCTGGTAGTAAACAGTTACGCGAGTAAGCCGCAAACGTAATAATTTATATAATACTAGCTTTTACCCGCGGCTTCGCTCGCATCACAAAAGGATTAAAAGTAGCCTATGTGACATATACCAATACACACAGCGCCATCTATACTAATACTTTTGTTTTCCCTCGAGAATATCACATTTTTCCAGGATACCCTATTATTTAATCCGGACTTCTAACTTTACGTCTGTAAAAATTCAAAGCAATCGGTTTAGTAGTTACGGCGTGAAAGCGGAACAAACAAGCAAACAAACTCACTTTCCGATTCATAATATTAGTAAGGATAAGGATGTCCCACAGAAGTTTTACATACAAACATAAATAATACTTTACTATGTTTACAGGAAGACGCAGCCCGAGTATGTGGCCGTGGTTGGCAGCAATATATAAAATGGCGCGAGGCTGCCTCGGCCGAGGCCAACAAGCGCGCCAAGCTGACCAACTTCCCAGTAGTCGCGCACCCCTTCTTAGTAGACGAGACGGAAATCGCAGCTGTTGATATGATTGAGAAAATTAAGAATTATACACCTAAAGGAGTAAGTATAATGTTTTGTAATTAATTATAATGAAAACTTGTAAGATGGATAAGATTGAATTAATCCTAGGGAAATAATAAATAAAAGACGTAGCGTTATTTAACAATCACGAAATGTATATTGCCATACCACAGATAAAATAAAAAAGAAAATCAGCCACAGATAATTTGACGTCCATAGATAAATTATATTAGTTTGCGTTTATACTTAATATGTCATTAAAATAATAAGACTCACAACATACATAGTAGAGATGAGGTGGGTATAACATTATGTATGTGTACGTGTTGTCTGCCTCTAAAAGAAGTATTAGGTGAAATGTTATGTTTTACGTAATTGTTTTATTTTAGTAATAGTTTTTTTTTACTTTTAAAATATTTATTTTTTTCGTACAGGTGTTAACTTTTAAATATTTTTTTCAGACGATATTAGAACTGGCCGCTAAGAACGACGCTCCGAGCTATTTGGCTATGAAGAGGAAGAAACAAGTACATGGCAAGACGGTACAGAAAGTACGAGACAACAAGAAATTGATGGTAAGTATTAAGTAACTATTACATATAATAAAACTGTACAAATGTCAAATCTGCACATTGAACATATTAAAAAAATAAGTAGTAAGGTAGGTGTGTTACTAGATAAACACCGAAATGAAAATGTGATTTAAAAAATGTTTGTGTCTGTCTGTATGTATGTTCACGAATCACACAAAAACTACCAGTCCTATTACGATGAAACTTAGCATGATTATACTTTAATATCCTGGGCATCATACTGGGTACTTTTTATCCCGAAAAAGTATACACTAAGAACAAACTTAATTGACCGGCTCGATCCGTAGACACAGTTACTGTATCAACCGCAAATATAAGTTTGTCGAGTGTTAGGTTTTTGGCAGTGGACCTTACGCATTAACTGTAGGGCCGATGGTCGAAATTAGCTTGAACTGCTATTATAAATGGGAAAAAATTGTGAGTTTGTGTGTATTTTTGTTACTTAGTCACATCAAAATGGCTGAAGAGACTGGGATGAATCTATCTCCTCACAGAAAAAACAGATTGGTAATAATAATAACCCGTATTACATTTAGTTTACTTGTGTTTCTAGGCTGAAGGCGTGTTAGAAGACACAAGCAACATAAAGAGTCGTCCGCCGAACCAACCTCCTAAAAAGAAGAAGAAAGAAGTAGTTCGCGATGAGAACTACATCTCACATTATGCTAGCGACCAGCATACTGAAATGGGGTAAGTACTACACTTCCTTAATACATTTTCAATCTTATTGTTGTGTAATAAAGTCTTTCTATAAAGGATTTTGAACTACGGTAAAATGGGGTGAATCCCTATTCACCCACCATCGAGATGTGAATAAGGACAGAAGATGGGTGGATCGATTGATACTATGAAGAATTTCCCAATATCTATTCACCCCTCTTCCGTCTCCATTCACCTCTTGATCCCTATCCACTCCATTTTACTGTATTTATCATTTATAAATTTCAATGTGATTTTTTTTTAAATTGGGCCTTTTAAGTTTAGATTTGGAGTTCATTTAAATAAAGATTAGTTGTTACAACAGTGTTTTTTTAGTATTGGTATTGGTATGAACATCGTGTGGATTCACTTTCGGTGGTAGGACACCTTTTTTGCCCATTTACCATCGATATTTTTTTCCTGTGTATGTAAAAGAAATGTTGTATAATAAATGATATATATAGTAAACATTGTTATTGTACTTAGTATGGCGGTGAACTTCGCGGCGGGCGCTGCGTCTGCGCAGCTGGAGCTGGGCGCCGACAGCGGGGACGCGGCGCGCGCGCAACACGCCATGCTGCGCTGGGACAGGAAGCGGAAGAAGATGGTGCACGTTGATCCGGTCAGTTACTGACAGTTTTATTACATTATGTAGATGTCTGCCCTTACAAAATGTATGGCGCTTGTAACTTCTTTAGTTCTGCGATGTCCATGGACGGCGTCGAGTTCCTATGGTTAACTCGTTTACTGTCTTACCCAATTAAAATACTGATGAGAGTTTTAGGTTAAAGTAATTATGGCTGCCTCGTTAACCGAGTGGTTGCAAGTGCGACTGCCGGGCAAGGGTCTCGGGTTCGATTCCCAGGTCGGACAACGTACTACTGGGTTTTTAAATAAATCTCAATAGTAGCATGGAGCCTGGAATCGTGCCCGGCAATAAACTCAACCCCTATTACATGGGATTCATAAAATAAATAGTGAATGGTGGTTTCATTTTACAGTGGCATAATGTACACCTCTGTCTACCCCTTCAAGGATAAAAGGCGTGATGTTATGTAATTATAACTGTATTTAAATTAATTGCCTATGTATTGTATTAGGACGGAGGTCGCAAGATGATTCGTACAGAGAGTGGCGGGCGCGTCCCCGCGTCGTACCGCAGCGGTCGGTACGACGAGTGGAGGAAACGAAATGTCGCTGATGCAGGCTCCGACGATGAACAGGGACACGACACTAATAGGAAGAAAGCTGGTATGTATACTTATTAGTATTTTTTATACTTACTTACACGGTTACACCATTACCTCCTACTGGCGACCTAAAGTGCATACGATTTTTTCCCATTTCTTGCAGTTCCTCGCCAATTATCAACTCTAAGGTCCCTGAAATATGTTTTTTTTTCTATAACCTGCCTTTGCTATTTAAACATAGTATACTTACCTCCAATGATATTATTGGATCAATTTTGTTGCGTATCAGGGCCTTTAGCCAAACGCCACTTTAGCGCTTGTCTACAGAGACACTTATGGGGATGACACTGGCAAGTGTCAAAATTTACGTCAATTCCATATAATTTGGTTTTCTACTCTACATGTAGACAAACGCTTAATGGCATTTGACTACAGCTGCTGGATTGAGCCTTCAGTATTTCGGTATTTTTTTGGTTGGTTAAAATGCAATAAAATTATAAAGTTAAATGACAAATGTATAAAAACAAGCTTCACCTTGTTTGTGTTATTTTTGGTGTAAATAATGCAACATGTATTTCTTTCGCAGCTTCAGAATTCAGACCCCACTGGGTGAAACACAACGAGCGCGTCGCCAAGAAATCAGCGGAGGCCAAGTCTAAAGAGTTTAAGAACAAACAACAAATCGTGAAGGAAAGAATACGGAAAGAAAAGATTAAACAGAAACTCAAGTTTAAAAATAACAAGAAAAAGAAGAGGAAATAAACACTAATAAATTTATTTTATTTTAAGATTATTCAGTTTTATTTGTAATAAAAAATTATTCTTACCAACTTCCAAAATTTTTTTAACAACCTTTACATACCTGCTTCTAAAATTTTACATAAGTGTGACCTTAAAACTAAACTCACCATACTTTAACGTTTTTTTATTGTTGTAATATCGCGGTCGGTTGTGTTTCGTTCAAATTGTAGAGTAAAAACTACATCTGTAAAGTAAAAACTACAATTTGATAAGGGTCTGGAGTTGACCTGATGATGGAGCCGACTGACAGAAATTGCCGTTCTGCAGTATTGGCCATCTCAAATCAATTTTTTTTTGGCTAAGAATTCTATTTTCAAATTTATTTTATAAACATGGATTTTTCTTCCAAAACTAGTCATTTGTTTATTGATTAGTCTTCATCGCATTTCAATCTTTTTCGTTATCATAGACGGATACGTTAAAAAATCGAGTAATTATGGAATACTAGCTTCTGCTAGCGGCTTCGCCCGCGTTTCCGTGGGATAAAAGGATAAAAAGTCTATGTGTTATTCCAGACCATATCATCTCAATCCCTTCAGCCGTTTTGACGTGATGCGACAAACAAACAAACAAACACACACACACACACACACACACACACACACACACACACACACACACACACACCTTCACAAACTTTCGTACTTATAATATTAGTAAGAAGTAAGATTAGTATCGACGTGGCTGCAACGCGGCGCGCAACATCAACGACGTTTACGGAGCTAACACTACACACCAACGCACCACCGGAGGCCTGGCCTTGGTACGAGTTTGTTTCATGTTTAAAGTAATCGAAACGAGAACGCGTTCGCCTCTCTGATTGGTCGACTCTAATGAACCAACCAATCACAGCGCCGAACGCGGTCTCTTTTCGACTACTTTTAACTTATTATCAATTATTAATTAACAGAGTCGTAATAAGGCCTCTGTTATTGGTTTGAAATTTCGAGCTGAAAAATCGAAATCCGAAGACGTTGGTCGACAATGACAAATGAAAGGCGACTGTGGAAGTAGCAGTTTCCGACTTTAGCGCCAAAACAATATTGGTCCATTTGCAACAAATTGTCAAGGTTAAAAAGCTTGACAAAGGGTGCCCCACGAATTCAATGATCGCCAGTGCGAAGTACGCGTCGAGACGTGCCTTGTACATGTACTGCTGTCTACTCAACAGACACAAATGAAGGAATTTTGAACCGCTGTTACCTGCAATGAAAAATTGATTCTGTTTGATAACCGTAAGCGCTCAGCAAACTGGTTAGATCCTGGTTCAGCACCTAAACAATACTTTAAATTGTACAGTATCTTGGATGCTATATTATAACAAAGAGTGTCCCAAGCTTTGAAGGTGCTTCTGACCCATATTTGCTATTTTACAATTGTTTTACAACCACATATACAACATATTAGTATAATATAATCTTTATTGGTCGATAAAATATTTGTAGGAGGGATCACCTCATTTGATTGGACGAAAACCACGCGCCACTTTGAATTTCGTGCACTAATTGGCTAACGCAAAGTCCTTCAACACTGATTGCAGTAAAATGACCAAAACAAACTTTCAAATATTACGATATTATGAATTTATGAGGACCTGTTTTTTGTGAATTGGATGTTGCGCGTGTTTGAGATATCGAAACATTCATAAAAATATGAAATTGAATTCATCGACACGTTCTGTTATAAAAAAAAAACTTGATTGATGCTCTCACGTTGTCTATTATAGAGGTGTTCGTAGACTCAACATGCTGCTTAGATAATTGTTTAAGACTTGTTTTATTTACTAGTCTATTAATAATAAAAACTATTTAAGGACGGTTTTTGTAGAGTTCTTATAAGGATAACGATATTATAACCTAGTATTCTAATATTAGGTTATGTATAGTAATTAGTAGGTAGTAATTTTATTTATGTTTACAGAAATAAATGCAGAGAATTATACAGTTCGGCATGTACCTATTTCACCTTGCTAAACATAATTAGGTACATTTAACTCGTTTATATTAATTATTTAGATGCCTATTTTATAGGTAAGTAAGTATACTATTATATGCTTCCGCCTGGATCTCATGTGTCAAGATCATTGCCAAACCTGAGTAGGTACTAAAGTTTACTTAATGTAAACTGAGTAATAAGTAGAACGCGAAATAAATTGCACAAGCTACCAAAATGTCAAGTTCAGAACGTTTGTAATGCGCGCAAAATATGCAAGAACTGGATAAGCTCAGTGTGAACGTTCGACTGTTCTTTTATTTGTTTGACTACTTTTAATATAATACGTTGTAGTTATAGTTGGCTGCCTCGATGGCCGAGTGGTCGCAAGTGCGACTACCGGGCAAGGGGTCTCGGGTCGGGCAAAGTAAAAATGAGTTTTTAAAAAAAAATCTCAGTGGTAGCACGGAGTCTGGAAATGTGCCCTGTATATGGCAATAGGCTCACCCCCTATATGGCAATGGGACTCATAACATAAATAGGAAAAGTGGGTGTTACTTCTGTGTGCACCTATGCCTACCCTTTCGGGGATAAAAGTCACTCAAAAACTATCGAGCGTCCTCGAAAACTATCGAGCGTCCTCGATCACTTTCGAGCGTCCTCGAAAGCTATCGAGCGTCCTCGAAAACTATCGAGCGTCCTCGATCACTTTCGAGCGTCCTCGAAAGCTATCGAGCGTCCTCGATCACTTTCGAGCGTCCTCGATCACTTTCGAGCGTCCTCGAAAACTATCGAGCGTCCTCGATCAGTTTCGAGCGTCCTCGAAAGCTATCGAGCGTCCTCGATCACTTTCGAGCGTCCTCGATCAGTTTCGAGCGTCCTCGAAAGCTATCGAGCGTCCTCGAAAACTATCGAGCGTCCTCGAAAACTATCGAGCGTCCTCGATCAGTTTCGAGCGTCCTCGAAAGCTATCGAGCGTCCTCGAAAACTATCGAGCGTCCTCGATCACTTTCGAGCGTCCTCGAAAGCTATCGGGCGTCCTCGAAAACTATCGAGCGTCCTCGATCACTTTCGAGCATCCTCGATCACTTTCGAGCGTCCTCGAAAACTATTGAGCGTCCTCGAAATCTATCGAGCGTCCTCGATCACTTTAGAGCATCCTCAATCACTTTCGAGCATCGTCGATCACTTTCGAGCGTCCTCGATCACTTTCGAGCGTCCTCGAAAGCTATCGAGCGTCCTCGAAAACTATCAAGCGTCCTCGAAAGCTATCGAGCGTCCTCGATCACTTTCGAGCGTCCTCGATCAGTTTCGAGCGTTATCGAAAGCTATCGAGCGTCCTCGAAAACTATCGAGCGTCCTCGAAAACTATCGAGCGTCCTCGAAAACTATCGAGCGTCCTCGATCAGTTTCGAGCGTCCTCGAAAGCTATCGAGCGTCCTCGAAAGCTATCGAGCGTCCTCGATGACTTTCGAGCATCCTCGATCACTTTCGAGCATCCTCGATCACTTTCGAGCGTCCCCGAAAACTATCGAGCGTCCTCGAAAACTATCGAGCGTCCTCGATCACTCTCGAGCGTCCTCGATCACTCTCGAGCGTCCTCGATCACTCTCGAGCGTCCTCGAAAGCTATCGAGCGTCCTCGAAAACTATCGAGCGTCCTCGATCACTTTCGAGCGTCCTCGAAAGCAATCGAGCGTCCTCGATCACTTTCGAGCGTCCTCGAAAACTATCGAGCGTCCTCGAAAACTATCGTGCGTCCTCGAAAGCTATCGAGCGTCCTCGAAAACTATCGAGCGTCTTCGATCACTTTCGAACATCCTCGATCACTTTCGAGCGTCCTCGAAAACTATCGAGCGTCCTCGATCAGTTTCGAGCGTCCTCGAAAACTATCGAGCGTCCTCGAAAGCTATCGAGCGTCTTCGAAAACTATCGAGCGTCCTCGAAAGCTATGGCTACTGGGGCTCTGTCTTTGAGCAAGTGTTGGAGGGAATGGGGTGGCTTTTAGTTAGTAAGAGTTGTAGGAGTCACTTCGTCAAGAGCAATTTAAGCACTTTTTACCCACTCAACAAAAAGGGGGGCGGCATAATCGGTATTTGCACGCGGGCGCTCGAGTTCTAGCGGCGGACGTGCCTACCTCTAGAGTCCCCACTCTATGCAACCGTGGCCAAGTAGCCTGGACCCAAATGTAAGCAATGGGTCCAATATGATAACATGTTTATTTTCAGTCTTACGAAATATTATAACAAAAAGCGGTGCTGATGCTGATAAAGAGTTTCTGTCTACCTATAGGTAATAACATTCCACTTCTGAAAAGAAACGGCGGGATGTTTATTAAATGAGTATGGTGTTAATCACACTTCACATCCTTTGTGTACCTACGATAATGATTCTAATCCAAGAAATGAAAGCAGCCACATTTACATATTTGCATATTAATTTCAATACTGAAACTAATAATTATGGACAGTCTATTCGACTTCAAACGCAAAATCATATCTAACCGGTTTTCCTGCCATCAGTAAATAAATTATAAAATTACATATTTTTAGAAACATATATTTATGTTTTTTAATAACACTGTTATAATAAATATTGAAAGATCTCACGTGTTGTAAATAACTGAGAATATTAGGTAGGTACATACTAATATGTCATAGTGAAGTGAGTAGGTACGTACTTGAGGAAAACATCAAACAGAATAGGTTAGGAATACACATGTTATAAAATAGTTCTTGAGAATTCAAGATCGCTTACTTAGATATAACTTAAATAGGCATTCAAGTATGTAGTTACTTATAACAGTTTTTATCGTTAGTATAATTTGTAACCATTTAACCTTACTACCTATATTGGTATTTTTCTATCAATCCTAACTATGAACGATCTCCGGCCACCGTAAGCGCGGGCCTGCGGACGGCGAGCATGGGTGGCTCGCCGCTCGACCAGAACTAGACCCGAGCGCGCCTCAAAGAGCCATCGGACCACCACGGATGGGGCCCAATAGGGTTGATGCCGATTCGGAGTCGC